TGTGAGTTTGCGCGCGAGAATACATTGTACTCCATTTTCCATCAGGATCGAGCATCGAACAAACAAAATGGCTGTCCAAATTAACACCTTGCGTTGGAATCACGTCTCACAAACGTACTTTTCGCGATCGAACGTATGTGGAATTTGAAATAATTGTGTGGATACTTTGGTTCATAATTATAACTTTGCATATTTTTGAAATGTGTAAACTCTTAAGAAAGCATCACGTAATAAAAATGATGGGTTTGTTTAATGAATAGTGTCATAATCACTTGTTAGATAGATTAATAAAGTATTTATAAACAATTTTAGTTTATTTTAACTGTTTATGATATTAATTTTCATTGTTAATTAAATAAAAATCGCCATTTCTATTGCCATAAGTTAAAAAATATTACTTTCATCTGCAATTGTAGGTAGCGCGAGGCAAAACTAGGCAACTATTCGGTTTCAATCTGAAATGAGTTGATTTACTAAACATTATATATTTCTATTTCGGTATACGATTTAAAGGTAAATAAAGCAATAAAATGCTGTATAGAGACTACAAAATAAAAATAGTATTTTTCGAAATAAATTTTTAAACGAAAAACAGGCATAAAGGGGCCACTTCACCGCTGAAATGCTGAAACTTTTCAACTGGAAATTGTTAACTTCGTCTACACAGAGTACTGTGATGATATGTGTCCTAGGATTCGTTTGATAATGTCACGAGGTTTGTCCGAATGCGACGGAAGGTTTTAACTGTATTTTGCAGCATGTATCTTACCAAAAACAATGGTAGCGGATTTTGTATAACTCTCCTCTACATAAAATTTACATTTCAACTTTTTTAATAGCCTTTCACTTGTTTTTAATAATGTTATAAAACAGTGTCGTATAGAAAATTATGTTTTCCTTCTTATCCTAGTAATATTAATGATAATAGTAGTCGATTTTTATCAGACATACATTTAAAAAAATTATATTATCATATAGAAGATGTGACGTAATTAGTGGCATAAATCTAAAAGTCGACACGAAATTGACAAATTTCATCTCAGCTTGCTTTCCTTTGGAAAATATTGAACGTGACGTGCAACCTGATGGTAATAAAATGACAACCTTACTTCCTGTTCGTCTGTCATCGTGATAACGCTAATGTACAATTTCACATAGCAGGAAACATATTGAATGCCAACGTTAGAGGTTAACGACGCTCATCGGAACCTTCCCTTAATATGGGTAGGGGAGACTTCACTGTTGCACTTTATTACAACTAGTTCAATAAGAGATAAAAGATCGCCGCGTGCGTCCTTCCACGATCATACCCTAGATAGCTTCGCACTATTCAGAAAATAACTAATTTAGATCAAAGCTATATAAGATTAGAAAAAAATATTTTTTCATATTGTGTATGTAAAATATCAGGTGTTCGACGGTTTAGATAAAATAATATTTTATATAGAGAACAAATTTTCGGCAAATAAAGTCCTTTTATTTTAATAATGTGAAGCATACAAAAATAATTTCGTATTTCAAATATATTTAAAATAATAATTGGATAAACTTCATTTCTGGTTTCAGTGCTATTATTCGTATGAAACCGTTTCAATCGTTTCAGTACATGGCTTACAGTTTTCGTACTTCACTGATGCACCCATCGCTGTTGGATACTTCATAAATCAGCTGCAATAATGATCCTACGAAATTTATTTACTGAAAACGCAACTGGAAGATTAAGATTTATTAAAATACTTATCTTATAATTACTTATCTTATAAAATACAAATTTTTTAATAAACGAATACTGTAATCCCACGTCTTTGATAATTACGAAACTGTAGATACGACGTAAAATTCATAATTAAACAAAAGATGATTAAAGGAGCAAATAAGTAGGTAACTTATAATAATTTCTGGTGCTTTTATGCTGTCTTAGAATGTCAAAGCTGCTTTCGAAGTCAGCTTATTTATTCCTATTGAATATTGCCCTATGAAATCTATGCACTACATATTATCCATGAACTCTTAACTAACTAATATATTAACTTAAAGAACAATTCAAAAATTGATCGCGATAAAGCAACATTTCTTGAAAATTATAAGCAAAATCTAAGGTGAAATAGACAATCTGCTATTTAAAATAATATTTCACCCAGCGTTTACCTCAACGTAACAGAAAAGAGGGTTTGTGATCGAGCCATCAACGCGAACGAGCAGGCAAAGTCGCTTTGAATGCGCGGCCATAAGGGCGCAGGAAGTCGCGGCAGAAGTTCAGATAGCCCTAATGGCGAAAGAGAGGCGTCAGATGGAAAGCTAGATGACAAGAAGACGAGCAACGTATCAGAAACGGGCGACGATCAAAGAGAAAAAACGGAGAACATTGGCGGCGAAAGAAGACAGTGGAAAGGGATGGAGGTTGGGGTGAGAGAGGAACCGGGCAAAGAGATTCGAGTAGAATCCCGATGGCTAAGTGGTTATCTTATCTTAACAGTGGCGGTGCAGCATCTCGCGGGCATGGCACCCTAACACTTCCTAAACGGAAATTAACATCCCTCCCGACCCCTGGTGCCCTCCCAACCAGACTGTCTCTGACATTCGAGCCGGGGGCAAGAGAAAAAAAAATCAATGGATATTATCTCGCAACCGTAGCGAAACTCGTGCTCTGACATGATCCTCTTATCGACCAGAAGAAAGGAAGAGGTGAGCAAGATCGGGCGCGGGATTGTTTGTTACGGTAACAGCCTTAATTTCCTGAGACGCGGCGTCGATCCTTGACCGAAGCCATTCGTTTAGCGCCACGCGAGCCACGATAGTACACATCCTCCGTGTAAAAGACGCGCTCGTAACGGGCACCGTTAATGGAAATGTGGTAATGTAACGCGACCGTTACTTGAAAATTCTATGTGGGTTTACATGTTCGGGGAAAATGCTGACATAGTGATTCGAAGCTGGGAATTATGGGTGGTTCTTACTTTTATTATCGATATAAAAGATCATCTTTTCATTATTCATTTATTATAATTTATTATAAGTTTTACTATAGATATAGATATTGTCAACTATTATATTAAGGATGCTAAAAGCATGTGACGCTTTTGGCTATATCTTTTAAGTATCGTTTTATTTTTAAATTTTATGCTTGTTTCAAAATTTCGATTAAAGCCTTTATTACAATGATTTACCTATTATGATTAAACAATTACATTGTATACATGCTTCTAACTGTTAAAATTTACAGTAACTAAATTCCTATTTAATCATGCGCCAAACATGATTTCATGGAATTAATTGTTTATTTATTAACGCCGAATATAATTTCATTCGAATATGAATATATTCGTCATTCTTATCTTTCGTTTGTTATTTGAAACAAGCTTTTGCGTAAGAATGGTTTGATATAATATCCATAATCGAATTTAGGGAGAAAGTTTCATTATTGGTTGTTGTTACGACATTCTTTTACGTATTCGAACTTATTGACACAGACATTCGGCTGAACGTTAATTATTGAGGATTGTGGGTTGCACAATATCCAGTGATCCAATTTCCACCTCCGTCAGACCGAACCGTAACTAATAATTACTCGATGATATGATAAATTTTATTCGCTGGAATTACCGTACATCGATGAATGCGTATCGATGCATTGTGCAGATAATTACGTCGCATGAAATTATTGGCAACGGCGCGATGCCGTGACTCTGTGATTCGTCAGGCGAGATAAAAGTTTTACGCATATTTTATGCATAGCAGACGTGCAATTCATAATCTGTTTCTAACGCTGGAAAAATGTATCAACGATTTGTACAAATGTTTTGACTGGATTATTTGGAAAGGTAAATCTAAGAGTCATTAATAAATTATCAAAAAAACATTAGGTATATTTTACTTTTCTACGCATGTATGTGCATATAAAAATATATGTGTCCTATTTAAACTAAAAAAAGGATATTACTACATAGGTAATTAGTGCGCTTGACTTTTATATTGTTCGTATATAAAATTACCACTAAAAATTGCACCGATAAAAGTCACATTGACACCAGTTGAAAATTAATATTACTCAATTAATTAGTTAAACATGTAAGCGGAAGTTCGGTAGAGTCAGGATAGTTTTTCTTGAACAGAAATACACTGCGTGATGATTATTTAGTTTATTAAAATAATTGGGCTGGTCTTCGACGGAACGCGACTGACGATCGACTTTGGAATGCGTGGCGATCGAAAATCGCCTTCTTTTTTAAGCTTGAAGGGTGCGTCAACAATTCCGCGAAACCGTTTCCGCGCGTGTGTCCGATTTTTTCGAGCGCTGTGTGTCGGCTTCCGACAGAAGAACTATATGACGCGACATTTTCGGAAATTAACACCTGCGCCTTGAAAGACACCGCATGCGTCCTGTTGGTCCTCGCTAAAAGAACGCGCCGCGCCGATTTCGGGAATCGCTCCTGCACGTGCATCCCACTTTCCGAGCGCCCTATATCGGCTTCCGACAAAGGACGTCGCTCTGCATACAAGAGTCAGCTCTTACAAACATTTTTTAATAACTAACATTAATCCCACAATCACTCATTCAATAATTAACGTTATTTTAACAAAGTTCATCTAGTATCGTTTAATACATAATATTTACTATTTTATTACACAAATATACTATCAAACGATTAAAGAACGATTAGTAAATTGATCAATCTTTTTGTCTTTTCAATAAAAACCATTAAATTTCTCGCAACTCTCGAATGTAATCTCTTAGCAAATCTCCTCGGCGGCTATCATGCAAACATCGTGTCGCGCAACGGCAATGACTTTAGTTGGTACCCAGCGCGCAGTCGAATGGTAAAAATACGATTTCAGGGTACGATAAAAAAATACAATAAGGGTGGCTGTGAATTCTGGCGGAAGGGGGAGGGGAGATAGTGTTAAGTCGGCGGCACAAAGTGACGGAAAGTTCCCAGTACGATATCGCGTGTGCATAAATGTCAGGTGTATTAACGGTGACGTTCGATATTCGGCCGCAGGTTTCCGTGCAGGAGGAGGGCGAGGACAAGGGACCAATTTGCCCTCCGCTTCCGGCGCAGTACCACGCGGCTGCCTACACCACGACGACACCGCAGCTACACAAAACTATCACGGATTACAGCGGTTGGTAGCGACGTTAAGTGCGATACTTAAGCCTTTCGAACTCTGCCTGTGCATGCGCCGTTAGGCCGATTTAAATTAATTCAAACAGTGGTGGCTCGGGCCGCGCACGATTACTGACGCCATGCCTCATCAAACATTGTACAGTATTATTAAGCGCCATAAAGATTCAAACGATTTTGTTTTCTTATTGTTACTTTTTGTTGTTCGGCTTGCATCGTTTAGTTTCATTATGTTACGAATGCACAATTTCGATTAGAAAATTCGCTACAAAGTATTGCATATTTTAAAATTCAGGTTTTCCTTATTTTAATCATTGTACGATTGTTATTATCATTGTTATTTTATTTAGATTTTATTGTGTTATCGTATTAATGCTCTGTCATTTGGCATGTTTATTATATTTAACGTTGTCTTTTGTTATTAACAAATAACTTCTATTTATTCATTAACCTATTCGATTACCGGACCATATTATGTGATTTCATTCGTATTGCTGAATAATTTTTATTTACTCGTTAATCCATTCGCTGTTCGAACCAAATTATGTGATTTCATTCATATTGCTAAAATACATTTAAAATACGAGTACAGTCGTGCAAGTACATGACACCCCGTCAGTCACGCGCATACGCTAAATATATTAATTAATGTACGATAGAGTATACGGTGCCAATCTGGGAAAGGACATTATGTCTATCACAAATACAAATTATTGTATTTATCATTCGGTATAATACATTACTTCCGATGACTTAAACGATGCAACAGTTCACTGAAAATTCAGTAACAGACTGAAATAGAAACATTCGATATTTAATCACGACATATCGGGTTGGAACGTGACTTGTGAATTGTTGGAATCCAACGTGCTAATTGGACGTTGAGCCTTCGAAACTTAATGCGTGCATTATTAAGCCGCTCTAAATCGTTCCCGAGCGGAAGAAGCATTTCGGTTCCAGCGATTATCAATTCACAGTTCCGCTGCTGGGCGATGTCGATCATTAATAGCCGTAGAATTTCGTTGCGCGGAATCGGACTGCCCTCGATATTTATTACAACGTTGTTTGTTTTAATTAAATGGCGGTGAAAACTCGGAATGAGCGGGTTTGCGCTGCGGTGCATTATCGAGTTTGCGTTTGGTTAAAATTACGTAAAACCGTGGTGGACTATAGTCGCCGGCCGCGACGATAAACGCAACACCTAACGCGATATGCAGGCGGGCAGCGTTCGAATTAAATTACAGGGTAATGGTCGACAGATTATTATAGAGTTCGTGGCACTTAAGCCAATACTTACATGAACACAAATCATTAGAAACTTCCACGTGATTTATCGGCCCTCTGTACAGCCGACGGCACGTCCTTAATCGATTTTAAATATCTCGACGGGTTTCTCGTGACTGTAACCATTATCACCAATACGGCAACATTTCACGTTCGAACATTTTGCACGACCGATTAGATTTTCGTAATTGCTGTTTGCATTAAGGATCATTGTGAGACAAAATCCACAGTGGATAATTAAGTCGGGCAGCAGAGGATTTTGTGCATGATGTGTATTATGTTAAAATCTTGTTGTATGGAACGTATGGAATGAAGGCTAGTTTATATGAAACCTTGGTCCGTGCAAAAAGGTCAATGATTAATTTGTTATAAAATTTGATTTCGTAAATATCTATTCACTTCTTGTAAATAATATGGATATATTTCTGATCTATAGTGCTAAATTACTGATCATCGTTTGAATAAATTTAAGGAAATTTTGTATTGCTAGGTTCTGTTTTAATTTTGCTTGTGCTATGATATTTGACGACACAGTGCATTTCAAACAATTGCGTTTTCTAGTGCTTTTTAACGAATTGCGGTCAAGCATGGCTGTCAGAAGTTTTCTGGGTACGGAACAGTAGCAGTAAAAACAATTTTAACAGTAGCGTGAGCTAAATGACTCTTCCGTTAAGCTATAATCTCCATGGTAAGTTTAAACGAACTTTCCAGAAAGCTTCGTTTCGAGTTCAATTTAAAACGGCCCGGGTTAACTGCACGTATACTGAAATATGGAAAATCCGTCTGGAATAATTCGCTTTAAGCAACTTTATAATCAGTTTATCGTGGGAAACGGTGTGCCCTCTGCAAATAGTAAGCCTCCACAAATGAACATGTACATTCTAATCGTTCATAATCACTGTATGCATGAACAGCGTGCATCAATCAAGAATACCAACCTCTTGATGTGCAAAACAAGCTAATAGAACCATTTGTCACTTCGTTAAATCTCAGTTCGAAACTGCATTTCACTCGGTTAACATTAATAATTGTTCAAGTCGTGGCACAATGGAGGCGAAACTTCCTCGAAAACGTCGCTTAAAAATCGTTCCCGGATGCAAATGCAAACACGCCGAGAAAAAGGTTTAATTGCAGAATCACATGGCTCCCGATCAGTGCGCGAGATCAACGGTTCCGTCCTATAAAGATAAGAGTAAATCATGTGAAACGCGGGGACGGGCATGACGGGCGACACTGTGTCCCAATAAAACAAAACCGTGTCGCGGTCGTTAATAGAAAAAGAAACGGAAGCAGCCGGGAAAAAGAGTTGATGCATGCAACCCGCAATGAACGTCGAGAGTCGAGCGACGAACTGTTCCTTTCCGTGCGTCGTGCCCATCGTGTCTCTAACCTTGTCAAAATTTCTTTTTTCCCTTTCCCGTTTCACGGTATCGTCGGACAGGGATCACGGAGGTGCAGCCGGTTATTCCGCTGTTGCTGAACACGGCGATCAATCTTGCCAGGCCAATTCCCCCGGTTCAAGAATATCCTTCTAACCCGCCGCCCATACCACCGCCGCCGGAAAAGTATTACGCCAGTACGGAGATCTGCAAGGTGAGTATCAAAAATGTACGGCAGACATGCGATCCGCGACGATTAGTCCCTTCCCAGGGCATTAATGCGGGCCACTTCGGGCTTGAAACTGTGTCAAACACCACTTCGTGACTGTAGGATCTTACAACGCGATCGCGGCACGCGGCGGCGGCAGCAGCGGTGGCGGCCACTTGAATCGTTTCCCTTTCGAGGGTTGCTGCCCGCGAGCTTATCCAACGGCTCCTCTTAATTCCGTGTTATTTCGCTACCGCCGCTGTTCCGGCTTTCGCTTTAATTTAATTTCCCCTGAACTTTGTCCCTGGAAGTCTTGTTATTTCTGCGCGAGATCCTGCGGCACGACTCGCCGAGAAATGGTAAATCGGAATTTCCAGTTGTACCTCATTGGCCACTGCATTTGGTGTTATTGTTCTCGAGAGAATTCAGTGGCCTTATTTGCAATTTGTGTTCTGTGAACTCGATGATACTCGAATATTCGATAATGTTTGATGGATTGAAAATATCGGAATTGCACTATACGAACTTTAATATACAGGGTGAGTCACCTAACGTTGCCACCTGAAATGTCTTTGTTGTTTTTAAAGATACGTCAAATATCTTAAGGACAGAGTTGAATGGTTTAGTGGGGCTCTCGTGATACCAATAAGATATCTGTTTTTTGTCATTTTTTTTTTTAGAGATTTTAAGGTTACCATATTGATAAACATTGTAAGATAAAAACTGCCATCTTCGTGAATGGACACTCAGAAACATTTGTTTTACGCGGATCAAACTATTGCTAATATATCATTAAATATCAAGTTTAGAACACATGAATGTCAACAATTTGATACGCAGAATTTGATACTCTATCGATCTATAGAGAAAGTAGGTTATTTCATTAAAAACAATCAAGGTAACTTCGTCTTTAAGACGTTTGACGTATCTTTAAAAATAACAAAGACCTATTGAATCCAATCGTCGAATTGTCAGAATTCGAGAATCTATGTTTGAGACTGTCTGAACACTTGATTCAGCATCTTCGGGTTCAGGGTGCCAAATCTGAGGATGTACAAACTTTAAAGGAATTAAATATGTTTTAAGGACTTGAAGTGTTCTGTGGATTTAGTAAATAGATTTGAGGGATTCTGTACTAAGATCTTTGGATCCTTGGATCTAGGTGGTCTTTGGTTAATCTGGAGTTCAGCACTCTGAAGTTTAGCATTTTAGATCTTGATGATGTAGCTTTCTAGTAACTGCTCCTACTTCACAACTTGATTCACCTCGAGTCAGTATATCTTTCAAAACACATTAGTTTATTGTTTAATTAGATTCAATAAGATAAATTACTTTGAAATTCTTAATTTCAAACTAGGTTTAATATTAAAGAGTTTTATATTCTTCTGACCGCACTTGTATAATTTGATTTTGAAGCCGATAAAACTGTAATCGTGGCAAAAACGTATTTTTTTCTTGCTAGAAGCATGATTACAATAAATAATTTCTCGCCTTAGGAATTTATCGTGCGCTTTTAAAATACCTCGAACGGAAAATAATGAAGCTTAATGGATGAAAAACAAGGCAGCAACGTGTAGGTACTATCAATCATAACTAATGCGAGACGCCCAAGAGAAACGTCTTTCGTGGGCACACACAGATTACCGAGCGATAATATAAAGGGTGTGTTTATTGATTACTTAAGTTCTCCGAGGCTTTACGCGTATTTTCATCTGATTACAGTATCGTTCCTCATTCTAGCCTTTTAAGTTGACTATTGTTAATCGCTGGTGTATTTACCATAGAAAGATCGATCGACAATTTTTATACGTTCGCTTCCTAATTGCTCTTAGGCCGGGGGTAACGTAAAAATAATTGAATGGAAGGGTGTACTGATAACGGGTTCATGAATAATACAAATGTGGTAATTAAATACTTGGGGGATTCGTTGGGGTAACGCAACGAACGAAGCATTTAGTGAGACCAAATGAACTCCAGTTAAACTCCTATAAAACGTAGTACGAGGCAGAATTATATCATGGAAGTGCCTGTGACTTATAAAAGTGTATGTGGAGAGTATAAGCTTTTTAAATTAAAATCACTTCTGGTATGGTATTAACGTATTATATTAAGTCTAATAATATATTATGTCGAATAACTGATTTGATCATTTTTGAATACTATTTTTCTTCTGATTCTGACAAATATTAAATAAAATAAACTAGTATTGATTTAATTCTCGTAAACGCATTATAGATATTTCATGTGTTTTGAATATTTTCTAGTATTAGCGATCACAATTTATAAATACAAACATATTGGACGAACCAGTTATAATAAATATAAGATACATACACATATAAAACTATTCTAGCTGTTTGCTTGCTACATACTTCTCTAAAACATAAAGTTATATACTTAACAATTTTCAATAACATTAATTTCATTGTTGTTACCTTAGATTGCATACTGAATTAACATCTATAATGAGTGCTTTAAATCTTTATGGCACTGGAAACTGCGTTTGTCACGAGTACCATTGATTAAAGGCTAAAACACTGAATTATCCGCTTCTTATCTTAAACAACTTTCAAAATTGATTCTTTTATTAACAACAATTTGCATCGCTTTAAGAAATCAAACTTGTAATTCGAAATTTAAAAATTGGGACTGTTTGGAACTTGTATTAGCTCTATCCAGCTATCATAAGACTCCAAATTGAACGTCAACAATGTAGTTCGCAAAAAAACGTATTAGACCCAATGAAGAATACGATATATCATTTGTGGCTGATATCTCTGCAAATATTCCCAGTCTTTTCCATCGGCGCATTTGCCTTTTATTACAGAATTCTCTACCACCGTTGCCGCCATCACCCACACCGAGCACGCCACCGCCAATGAGCGCGAAAGCCTCTAGTAGCATGACAAGCTACAGTCCCGAGGATATGCTTACGGAGGAGGAAGACGAGGTGCCCGAGTGCATCTTAGACTTCCCCCGGGAGAAGCTCAACATCGTTGAAAACCTCGGCTGCGGATACTTCGGCGACGTTCACATTTGCGAGGTCGACAGGTTTCCCGGATACGACGAAGTTTTCCGGAACACCAGCAGCGACCTCGTGATCGTTAAGTCCCTGAGACCCGGCTCCTCGGATGCGCTTAGGTAAGGATCTTGTATTATCATCAACTGCCTCCGCGGCGCGTATTAACCCGAAATTTGCCGGTATTAAGCAAATAATCGCGAAAGTCGACGGAGCTCGCTCTACCGCGAGACTTCGCGGGATAGTTGAACGTTGAATATTCGATAAAGTGTCGATGATGCATTATGGTTCGATGCTCATAAAACTGTCAATGATATATGTGCTTAATCTCTTCTTTGTTTATGACGGAGTCGTGTTAGTAATTTATACATACAAGTTGAAGCACTGCAAGGTGCATATGTTAAAACGACAATAATATTCTCTTAATAAATCGAAACATTTATTTAGTAACTATGTTCTGAAGCATTGGTTCATAAAATTAGTGGTGATTTTGTTTTTATGGCAGTGTTGTCAAGGTGAGCGGTACCCTTGTAGGCGTTGAGTAACATTCTTTTACATTTTGGAGTATTTATGGTATGATATTTTCTAATGTTGGGGGTCGCGGTCTATCCCGTGAATGATTTAGAACTCGCGACTTAGCGAAAATGTAGTGGACTGTATTTGTACAACTTAGCCGGTTTACAAGTTTTTGAAGTGTGTCTCTTCTAGTCGGTGGTTGCTATACGAATGTATTTCGAACTCGCGAGTGCTTCTCAGCTGCCCCTTGGAATTTGCAATTGTCCACTGATTGGTTCTTCCAATTTTTGGGAAAGTCCAATTAGCGAACTTAAGTTAGAAGGCACCCCTTCCTTTACGCCCTCGGCGTGTTTCCTTGAGGAAGGGGTCGTGAGATTTTCCAAGGGGGGAGAGACTCTAGAATTCGGCGATGGTGGACGACGCATCTGGTCAACACCAGAGACGGTTTCCTGACCCTGCATCGGCCGCGGAAACCGTTGGGCGACCCATGGTTCTTG